ACACCGGGGTGTTGCTGCCAAGGAAGGTTTTCGGGTGTGCGGGGAGCGGTGTCTGTGGCTGTGGCTGCCAGTGTGGGCCCGCAGGGTGACGTCCAGCGGGATGGCGCTCTGCCCTTTACACACCATGAGGCGCACAAAGCACAGCTCCTCAGCCCTTCCAGCTGAAAAGGTCTGGCTTCATCTCCAGCAAACTCGGAGTTTTGATGCAGAAGGTTACACCATTGCCCACTTCCCAATCCAGGCCACTCTGTAGAGCACGGACGTGGGATCCTGGGCCTTTCTCTGTGTTCATGGCTCAGGCCTTGGACAGGCCCGATGTGGAGCCCAGAGCTGTGGGTCCAGAGGAGGCGGCCAGGTTACTGCTCACATGCCTGCTGGTGTCTTGTCTCTTCGGACGTGAAGAGAACAAAGGCTGGGAGGGAACTGAGGCTCTTCCCACTGCCGTCAGTGTCCAGGCGGCCATGCCCACCCAATCACGTGGTTCCTCCAGCCTGGACTGAAGTGCTGGGTCTTCTGGTGATGAGGCCGGTGGTGAGGAGCAAGGCAAGAGCCTGGAGCCCCGAACCTGACCACTCTGTGTCCTGCCCCCACCCCCTGGCACCCTCTTTGCAAGCATCCCCAGAAGACCACGCTGCCTGAGGTGGTGGGGTGACAAAGCTGTTAGACTGGAGGTTGCTACACAAGCACGGGTGAGTGTTCTCCCACCTTCACACACACGGGGCTGCGGGTGTGGACAGATAGTGCTGGAAGGAAAGAAAGGCCCCCTGTGTGCGGTGCTTGTGGTCACCCCCACCCCATCACCTCGGTAAATGTTCACAATAACCCTGAGACACGAGCACTATGACCCCATCCTGGGAATGTGCAGGCAGGAAGTGTGTGGCCTGCAGCGACTGGGGTCCTGACCAAGAGCCGAGTCCGCCTGTGTCCAAAGACCATGCCACGGTGGCCAGGCCCGGTTCTGGCCGGAGAGCCTCGCCATCAGCAGTGGGAGCCACGCCGCAGGGCACTTGGAGCCAGAACTTGGCTTTCTTATTCCTAACATGTCCATTATGTGCTTAATTGCTAAACCACTAGCAAATAGCCACTTTAAGCCTATCACGTTTTCAGTTTAATTACTAGGAGCTCATTACAATGCAGCCTGCCGTCCGAGAGGGGTCATGGGATTTGAGGAGAGCCGCCCGCGGGCCTGACCTGTCCCGGTCTGGCAAGACTCGCTTGAGAAGAAATCCCATCAACCAGAGACCCTGAGATCTGGGTGAAAATGGGGAGCCCAGACAATCTCAGACTGACTCCCCGTCCCCTTGTCCCTGAGCCAGAAAGATAAACCAGGCACAAGAGGCCGAGCGTTGAAGTGGAGGGAGGACAGAAATTGCAGCTGAAAAGAATTATTTCCCCATATTAGGGGAAAGAAGGAAAATCAGCATTGAGAGGTATCCTTGCTACAAGGATGTTCTCAGGATGAAAAAATGTCTTCCAATCGCCAGACAGAAAAAAACAAGCCGGCAGGTGACTCGCGCAGGTGAACTAAGAAAGGAAAGCAGCTGATCTGCCTTCCTCCTCACACCACACAGAGCCTAGAGGGGATGGGCCGCATGGGTTGTGGGGGGAGGTTCTGGGAGCTCTGTGCAGCCTCAGGACACAACCCCACGACAACGACAATGTGAGAAGGCAAAACCCAGCCTGAGAACTCTGTGAAGTCGGGAACAAATGCTGTGAAGAAACAAGTCACAGAAAAGGAAAGAATGGTCCCCAAACTTGAAGAGAAGTTAGATGGAATCCCCCGGGGTGGTGGTGCTGTTTCTCACCTGCCTGGGACGAAGACAGGACCCCCTGCCCCCCACCGTGGGCAGATGTGACAGGCACTTCCACTCAGGTGAGCCCTCCAGTTTAAAATGCGCCCACTCCCAGGACCCCACCCTCACAGAGTGCGCCCGGCGCCGACGGCGGAAGTTCAGACACACGTGCCTGTGCCATGCACGGTGTGCAGGCATGTTTCTTTCTCAGGGAGTAAAAAGGACATGTTGTTTTCTTCTGTGGGTTTTTGGGGCCTTACTTGTGAGCAAGAGCATCTGCTCTGAAGCTGGCCTGTCTGTCATCCTCTCATTTCCCGAATTAATAAGATTGTGTAGTAACCAGCTGCCATACAGGAATGCGGCCAAGGATTAGCCGCCGGTGCCGGCGAGGACTTCCCGTTCCTAAAGTGCAAAGTTTGTTGTTATTGTTTTTAAGGAGAAGCCTGGTCCCTGGCACCTTCCCGCCCCACTGGCCCTGCCTTTGTCAAAGGGAAATGCACAGTGCTCATGACCCGTGGTGCAGCTCCAGTTTTGGAGAGATCGTGACTGAACCTGAGCCAGCTCTGGGGATCCTGGCTGCCTCCTCAGCAAGGGCCCTTCCAGAGTTCAGAGGTCACTCGGTGCCCCCCAAGTCTGGCCCTGAGCCCCGTGACCCTCGGTGCTATGTCTTTTGGTCACTGGATTCTGTCTTCCAAGAGGCCTACAGGTCACTGGGCACCGAGTTCCCCGCCTCCCAGCTGCTGTGAGAGCTTTGCTGGGCTGTAAAGGGCAAGAGGACCAGGCGAGGAGGCTGCCACCAATACAGTCTCTGCTATAGCCGGGCCAGGACAGCAAGAAGGACAGAAGACATGCATTTGATAGAAAACAGCGACTTCTATGAATGGTGAATGCAGCTAGAGCCTTCAGGAGGGTGGCCTCAACGCCGCTGGCTTGAGGCTCCTGGGAATTCCTGGGGGCAGGAGAGGATGTCACCCCCACCCCAGAGAAAGGCGTTTCCTCACCCGTGTCCCAGTCGAGGACAGAGAAGCAGGGCTAGACAGGGGCAGGGGCCACTGGCCTTCTACACCCAGCTCCTGGACACCCAGTCCATTAGGAAAGAAGAAAAGACCATCAGCTCAGCTCTCTCTGGACATTAATAAACAATTAGGGAGAGTCCGGAGGGAGGGACACGTGCCCCAATCCTTTCCAGAGTCCACCAGGGAGGGGCCCGGAGGCCCGTGAGAAAGCAGACTCCCAGGGCGGCCCAGGACCTGCTGAGTCTGGTGTCTGGAGTGGGGCCCTGGGCCCTGCAGGGGTTCTTGTGCTGCCGATGTGTTCGGATGTCAGGGCCACAAGCCACAGGGAGGGCAAGGCCTCCCAGGTCTCTTCCCAAAGCAGAGGGCAGCCCAATGTCCCAGGGCAGGGGGAGCATGTTGTCTCAGGAAGAGACAACCTTGCTGTGCCCTTGCCTCGCCGCGTGCGAGGATCCGGGAGGCCAGCTGCTGCCGAGGGAGGACGGGGGCTCTCGGACGCTGCCGTGTGGAAGCAGAGCTGGGCCGGGGTAGCCTCGCTGGACGCCTCCTTTCTCGCCCACATGAGGGCCCCGCCCAAGCTCAGGGAGAACTCCCTGCAGGGGCTGTGAGCAAGGCCAGGATGTTGTTCTGCTGAGCAGCCAGGCAGGGTCCCGGGGATCTCCAGGAACCCGGCCCTCCGCTCTCTCCCTCGGGGTGGTCACCCTGTGGTGCCCCTCACGATCTGTCCTCAGGCATGTGGCCACGTCCAGGCGCCAGCCTCCTGGGCCTCCAGGTTTCTCCATGAGGTGGGAACTCCCTCTGTGGGCTTCCTGGGCAGCTCTGCTGGGGTGGGGCGAAGGGATGCTGCCTCCACCCGACGTGTGTGTGTGTGTGTGTGTGTGTGTGTGTGTGTGTGTGTGTGTGTGTGTGTGTGTGTGTGTGTGTGTGTGTCATATATCGAAGGGGAAAGCAGGACCTGATCAGAATGCAAGCTGTGCAGCCGGCTGGGGGCCCTTGGAGGACCTGCAGGCCTGCAGGGGTGGGAACAGGACCCCTAGCGGGTCCTCAGGTCCCAGAAGCATAGCCCATTCTGCCTCTGCCCACTGAAACCTGAACTTGCCAAGCATACAGGGAGGCCTTGTAGTCATAGGTCACAGGCCAGAGGCCCTGGTGCCCGGAAGGTCCTGTGCTGGGCCTGTCACTCAGCCCCTTAGCCCGGTTGGAGAGGGCTGTCCACAGGGAAGAAGCAGGAGTGAGACCAGGAGACCTCCTTGCTCGGGGAGCCCCTACAGTGACCAGTAATTACAAGTGAGGAAACAGGCCAGGGAGGGGTGAGGCAACCTGACAGCAGGGGTGGGGCTGGATCCGAACCGGCAGGACCCAGCCTCCAAGCCAGCCACCTCCTCCGGCCTCGCCCAAGAATTCTTCCCGTGATGGGACAGGGTCTGCACAGGGCACAGAGCCTGGCAGGACAGCGCCCTGGCTCTGCCTCCCTCTCCTGCCCACTGGGATCCTGTCAGCTCAGGAGACAGCACTCCTCAGAATTTCAGAGAAGGCCTCTCCATAAGCAGGACTTTGGTGAATGAAAACGATAATGATGCCAAACATTGCTTAAGCAGGAGTCCACTTCTGACAACATTCCAGCTATTTTGAAATCGGGCTTAATGTGGAATTATCATATTTTTTCTGAGTCTTACAATAGAACAAAAGAGAAATGGACTCCAGTAGGCTGTGCGGGCGGGGCCTCTGCCTCGTCTCCTAAGATCCTGGCAAGTTTGATGGCCCAGGGAGTGGGTGGGGAGGGGGCCGAGGGGCCAGCCCTGGGTGGGGAGACCTCTAGCCACGGTCCCCTGAAAGCTAGAATGTGGGCAGTGAGCTAGTTTCTTTAGGGAGCCCTGGAGACCCTGGCTTCAGAAGACTCTGTTCCTGGGAGGGGGTCATTCTCTGGGCAGGGGATGGGGAGAGCCCTGAGGAGGGTGCACTCTGGCCAGGTCCTGAGGGGCAGCTGACAGCGGACTGGCCAGGCCGCCAGGCCACTTGAGTGGGACAGAGGGAAGCATCCACAGACTGGAAGTAGGCCTTGCTTCTTAAGCCCATGTCTGTCCTATGGCGCCAGATGGCCCCTCCTGTGGGGTTCCCTTCCCTCCTCTCCCCCGTGGGGTCCCACTCTCCCCTTCCCGTGGGGTCCTGGCCCCTGACGCCCTCTCCCCCGCAGGCTTCCACCTGTCCCACAAGGTCACCAGCGTGGTCCCTGAGAGTGCACTGCTCATTGTGGTGGGCCTGGTGCTAGGCGGCATCGTCTGGGCAGCCGAACACATCGCCTCCTTCACACTCACGCCCACCGTCTTCTTCTTCTACCTGCTGCCACCCATCGTGCTGGACGCCGGCTACTTCATGCCCAACCGGCTCTTCTTCGGCAACCTGGGCACCATCCTGCTGTACGCTGTCATCGGCACCGTGTGGAACGCGGCCACCACCGGCCTTTCCCTCTATGGCGTCTTCCTCAGCGGCCTGATGGGTGAGCAGGCACCCCCATCCACCTAGCGGGCTCTGCAGGGTGGACACCACAGGGTGGGCTCCTCAGGGTGGGCTCTGCCGGGTGGGCTCTGGGCAGCCCTATCTAAGAAAGCCCAGGGTGCAGAACACAGACCTAAAAAGCGGTGTTTCAGGTCAGCGAGAAATGTCACAGACGGGTCCACTGAACCCTCCTGGTTTGTTTAAAGTGAGGCTGAATGCATAACTGGCTGGTCCATGTGCAGCCCAGCATCCCCAGGCCAAGGTTATGTGTCCTGCTTGTGAATGAGGTCCTGTTGGACCAGGGTGGCCAGTAGGCTGGGCAGGTAGGAATAGTCCAGCTGCTGTCCCCGCCCCCCCCCCCCCCCTGGCGGGGGGGGGGGGGCCCCCCCCCCCCCGCTTGGCAGGGATGTGGGGTCCAGCCCTACTCCCCTGTCCCTGAGCCCTCACAGGCAGCGAGGAGGAGGCCTCTCTGGCAGAGGCCCCCGGCCCACATAAATGCCCACCAAGCAAAACGTTTGGGTGTCCTTTCTCCCCAAACCTTGGAGAAAAGGCCACACCCTTTCTATGCACTCAAAGCTACTCCCCTGCAGTTTGGTTATTTCATTCAGCCCTGGCCTGGGGGACCTGTGAGGTGCACCCCACCCATCTGGGTGTCGGTCATTATCTTCCTGGGAAACTGGAGCAGGTGAGGCCAGTGGGTCACCTGAGGCCTCGCACAGATGTGTCTGCGCGGTGCAGCCCTACGTGCTGTTCTGTCTGGGGTTGCTGCGGCTGCCCTGTTGCATCATGGGTCTGCAGGTTTGCTGCCAGCACTGGCTAACCAGGGCAGTGAGAGGGTGAATGTGGGCACCCACGGGCGCCTGTCTGAGCACTCAGCCCCACCTCACACACTTCCTCCCCGGAAGCCAGACTCCTGGGGGTGAGCCCAGATGGGCGATTTCCCATCTGATTGAAGGAAGAGCCTCGCACCACCTGACACCAGGCACCACCCGAGCCCCTCATCTCCTCCTGGTGACAGAGGAGGTGCATTGAGAAGGAAGAACCAAAGGTCCCCTGACGAAGACTGTCTCCTCGCCCAGCACATTTGTCACCACAGGACTTTGTGCTTACCCCACGGGGCTGTGCCCCCTCAAGCTCCCCACTGTGGGCACCACCCCCTAAGCCCAGCCCCGAGAGACCTACCACGGTTGGCGATGCCTAACCTTGGACATACCTAAAATGGCATGGCCATCGCTGGGGGGAAGTCTCAGAGTTTAGAGTAGGGAACCCAGGACACAGCTGCTCAGGCTGGGCGTCAGCCCAGGTCATGGAGCACAGTGGTGCCCAGGGGCCAACATGTCTGTTCTGCTCCCGGGTACACAGAGCTTGGAGCCAACGGAGCTAGGAAGGCAGGATCCGTCTGTGCAGACCAGTGGCCCCTCGCACCCTTCCAAGGAAGGGTCAGTCACACGTCCTGGATCGCTGGACAGGCGAGCCACTCAGGGACAGGCCCTGCAGAAGCTCGGGCGGGCAGTTGGAGATGCCCCTGAGGGGGTGAAGCCATGGGTCTTCTTGCCCGGGATGGAGAGAGGGGTTAGAACACGCAGTTGGTCGGCCGTGAGCCCATAGTCCAGTCCACAGAACTGTCCTGGCAGGGCCAGTGGGTGGTGGGCTCTCCCACCAGGGAGGAGGGCAGGCCCCAGGTCACATCCTGCTTGAAATGAGTGGCCGGCTTCTGGAATGTACCACTGGGTTGGTCAGCATCCTCCACAACTTGCGGCTGATGTTCAGGGAGGCCTTAAAGATTGATGGCCTGCAATGGAGAGTGTGAGTCTGGAAGCCCCTGGAGTTTGAACTGTGTTCTCACATCTGCCCACTGACAGCGTCTTGGGTGGAAAAGCAAAACCCATGAGCCCCATTCTAAATGGGGCATTTTAAACTCACCGGGAGCCAGTTCTTTTAACACCTGTCACTTCTTCAGGACAGTGACCCTGGTGCCAGGCTGGGAAGCTTTAGGAACTCACAGAGAACTCCCTCGGGGGCGCCAACCTCTCTGCAGAGACCACTTTCCCTGAGGGGGCTCTGGGGGCGTGACTGGGCCCTGAGGAAGAGTGGGCTCCTGCAGACGCCTCTGTCCCAGAACGCAGGGCCGCATTCAGCCCACGTGTACTCAGCCTCTCCCACCCTCCCTCTATTGCCCTTGCCCTGTAGATGGGCCTCTTCCTGCCCTCAAGGCCTGACTGGCTCCTGGGCCCCTGGGGTCCACTCTGGTTGGGGAGGGGACTCAATACCAACAGGGCAGCAGGAACGCCCACAGCCAAGGCCCTCCTCCAACCAAGCCCAGCCGAGCCAGACAGGCACCCACATGCACCTCCCTGAGGTTGTGGGTTCGTCGCTGGGAGACGGGATTTGCACATGATCTGGGACAGGAGATAACTCTGGGAGGATTGCAAAGGGTGAAAGTGCACTTCAGCACAATCTCTCCACCCAAGGGCGCCCAAGAACCCCCTGGGCAGGAGCCGTACAGCAGAAGGAAGCAGGGGCTGGCTCCACATGGACCCACTCCTTCCAGGGCCTCGCTCCTCCCCTCCTAGCACCCCCAGATGTGCCATTCATCTCCCTCCCCTCCTCTCTCCCCATCCCCCTGTAGCTGGTTCCCCTCCCAGGGTCCGGTGAGGCCTGCCCCACCCATCACCTCCTTTTAGGCCCGCCCTGGTTGTTCCAATCATGGCAGAGGCATCATTTCCCTGGGAGGCCTCCTCCCAACCGATCAAGCCCCCGATGTCTTCCCAGCACCTATGACCCTGCGTCTGTACTCACACTGACCTCGGCTGCAAACTCCCCAGGGCCGGGGTCTGATGGCGTGTCTCATGGCCAGGCACCACCTGAGCCCTCACCTGCCTGCAGTGAGCTCACTGGTGAGCCAGCCAGGAGGGGTCAGCCAGGCCCAAGGGGAGATGAAGGAGAGAGCCAGGGTGGTCAGTCTCCTCTGGCTGGGCCGCTGCCTTTCTTGGAGGACTGTGGGAGCCCCTGAGGGAGGCTGGTCGTCTGACCCAGGTTCCCACACCAGCCAGCCTGAGCCCTAAGAGTCAGAGGCCCCACCCTGAGGGTTCCCAGCCAGCAGCCGCCAGGCCAGCAGCCCGAGGCAGCCCCGGGAAGGCCAAGGATGTGCTCCTGCTTCCGCTCCCCATAGCCCCTCTTCTCTCCAGGTCCTGGTAGCCAGGGGACGCCGCAGGGACCCTTGCTCGCCTGGCCCTCTAGGTCCTCCCTGATGCCCCGCTTGTCTCCCAGGAGACCTGAACATCGGGCTGTTGGATTTTCTCCTGTTCGGCAGCCTGATCGCTGCTGTGGACCCGGTGGCCGTGCTGGCGGTGTTTGAGGAGGTTCATGTCAACGAAGTCCTGTTCATCATTGTCTTTGGGGAGTCACTGCTGAATGACGCTGTCACTGTGGTGAGAGAGTGGGGGAGGGTCCTGGCCGTGCCACAGAGCAGCGTTTCAAAGCTGTGGGTGGGGGGACCCTATTTGCTCCCCGGGCATCACGAGGTCGCCCACAGAGCCTGAGTCTGCTCATTGGCCCCAACAGCCCAAAGGCTTCATGGTCCAAGGCATTCTTCAGGCCAGCTCCTTCTGCTGGGCCTTTTCCTCCACTAACTCTGAGGCTGGCTTTTGTAATGCGATTTCTTCATTCTTTTCTTCACGGTCCTTGGCCCCCCCCCCACACACACACACACACTTTATTCTTTCACGGGTGATGATTTTTAAAACATATATTTTTATTGATTTCAGAGAGGAAGGGAGAAGGAGAGAGAGATAGAAAGATCAATGACGAGAGAGAATCATTGATCGGCTGCCTCCTGCACGCCCCACACTGCGGATCGAGTCCACAACCCAGGCATGTGCCCTGACTGGGAATCGGACCATGACCTCCTGGTTCATAGGTCGATGCTCAATCACTGAGCCACACCGGCTGGGCAACAGGTATGATTTCACTGTTGAAATCCCACGGTCTCTGTTCCCAGAACAGGGGGTCTTTAACTTTGGATCCACAGTTGGGCTCTCCTTCCTGATTTTCCAAAGAGAATGCATATCTAAACAAGCAAAATCTCACCTTTGTTTGGGGGGGGGGGGGA